CTACTCTGTCCTGCAGTAGTTTCAGAGATTCAGGTTTAATGTTAAGGTCTTTAATCCATTTTGAGTTGATGTTGGTGCATGGTGATAGGCTGCATGTGGTCACATGCAGAAAACAGACCCGTGGTTGAAGAGGCTGTGTTTCTTCCATTGTATGTCTTTGGCTTCTCTGTCAAATATCAGCTGACTGTAGGCATGTGGATTTATTTCTAGATCTTCTATTCTATTCCATTCTATTTCATTAAATAGTTCTTTTACATCTTTGGTTAGGTTAGTTCCTAAATATTTCATTTTTGGGGGGGTTATTGTGAATGGGGTTGCTTCCCTTATTTCCCTCTCTGCTTGTACATTGTCAGTGTATAGGAAGGTGACTGATTTTTGTGGGTTGATTTTGTATCCTGCTACTTTGCCGAAGTGATTTATGATTTCTAAGAGTTTGGGGATGGAGTTTTTGGGATCGCGAAAGTATATGTCATCTGCAAAAAGGGATAGTTTAACTCCTTCTTTCCCTATGCAGATCCCTTTAATGTCTTTTTCTTGCCTTTTTGCCCTGGCTAAGGGTTCCAGGACTATATTGAAGAGGAGTGGAGAGAGTGGGCATCCTTGCCTTGTTCCTGATTTTAAGAGAATTGGTTGTTGTTTTTCCCCATTAAGTATAACATTGGCTATTGGTCTGTCGTAAATGGCTTTCATTGTTTTTAGAAATGTTCCTTCTATTCCTATTTTCTCCAGAGCTTTTAGCATGAATGAATGTTGAATTTTATCAAAGGCCTTTTCTGCGTCTGTGGAGATAATCATGTGATTCTTGACCTTGGCTCTGTTGATGTGTTGGATTACATTTATTGATTTACGTATGTTAAACCATCCCTGCATCTCTGGGATGAAGCCTACCTGGTCATAGTGTATGATTTTTTTAATGTGTTTCTGGATTCTGTTAGAGAATTTTTTTATGATTTTTAGAATTGTAAGTGTGAGCTACTAGCACCTGGCCTTATACTGTTTTGTTTTGTTTTAATTAAAAAATTCTGTCTTTTCGGATTTATCATGACATAGCTGAGACGTATTTTGAGATAACCATCCAGCTATCTTACTGCCTCTACCTTTCCTCAATTGACTTGAGATGCTGTTCTTTGCCATATACTAAAATTCTGTCATATCCTAAATTTCTGTACATCATTGGGTCCACTGTGGGCCTTTCTGTTCTTTTATTGACCCCAGTGTATCCATGTATCAGCACTGCACATTTGAAACCACTATAGTAGATCTTAATTTCCGCTTCAGAAAAATACCTAGTAATTTTTTCTAGAATTTTCTGTACTCTTGTTTCTTCTTTCCATTTATACTTTATAACCAGCATATCTAGTTTTAAACATTAATATTTAGTAGATATTACATTTATTGATTAAGAAAGAGGGACCTGAAATCTTTTATTTGTAACCTTTTTGGTTCAACAGTCCTGCCTCTTGGTTAGCTGATCCAGTATCACTTGTCAGATATAAACCGTTCTTCCCCACCGGCCCAGTGAACAATGGGAGAGAGCCATGAGAAGAGGTGGAGCTTGACTTACCCAATACCAATGCTTCAGAGTCTATCCGAATAGCTCTCCCTTCTGTAAAACCCTAAGGAAAAAGTGGATGGGGTGCTAATTGCTATGGTGGAATGTGAC